TGAAGATACTACAAAACGCCTATAGGCATAAATGAACAGCCTCGTCTATCCAAAGTTCATTGCACGCTCACGATTGTCCGGTAGTGTTTCATTTTTTTTTTTTTTTTCTACAAATCGGAATGACCTGAAATTTGAAACGTGTATACATCCTAGTGATACGCACCTAATAAAAATAAAAATAAAAAATTACAGAAAATAAATTGACCAAAAATCAACCCATATTGTTTATCTATTCTTTGTTTTTTTTGTATTTTATTGGTCAAAAATCAACCCTTATAGATTCCACCCACAACAATACGATATGTCCAGTTTTTTATTTTTTATTGTTTATTGTAGAAATCAATATTGATCCTCCAAGAAACTTAGAGGTCGACGTTGATGCTGAAAAAAAAATGGAAAGTGATATAACGTCAGATTCAGAAGAGGAAAGTGATATCGCGTCAGATTGAGAAGAGGAAACTGAAGATGAAGATGAACAATTTGACACCCAACTTCCAGCTGCTAAGTCGGCCATCGAGGCCTTGAAGAAAGTGGAGATTATGGAGAAAGAAGAGGTTCTTTGCACAGTGTGCATGTCTGTGCTTCATGCTAAGAATGTCTATGTGAAGGAGATGCCATGTTCTCATAAATATCACAAGCACTGCATCTTCAAGTGGCTCAGCTCAGCAATTCATCTCCAGTTTGCCGATTTCAATTGCCCTCTGATTGAATCAGTTGAATGTTCTTTCTATCTATTCATGTTGATTTAGTCATTCTTGGAGATGGAGTTCACTACATGATATTTAAACCAGGCCAAGAAATTTTCAACAGGATATATATTAGAGATTAATTAGACTAGTTCAGTTTTTTGGTGTCAAAAAAGTCTTAAGGGACTACCAAATCTTATTTATAGTTTGTTATCACTATTCTGTTGAACAAATCTTCCCAATACAAATAGGGGTTGTTGAAATCTTTCACAATGCTGAATTCCTTTTGATTTCGGTTTGTCCACTGCCATCTTGCAATCGTAGCCATCATTTCAAGAGGGGCGCATATCAGAGTGCCGTAGAGATTTGCTCTAGGAATGTCTCAATCAAGTTATAATAAATAAAGTTTGCATATGTAATATTTAGATAAGTTTTTATTTTTAAAAGTTTTTTTTTTTATGGATTCTTAGAATATGATACTCTTGATTCTGTGAGTTTTAAAATTACTAAATGTCTAGAAAAAATTATAGATATTCCCAATTTTAACTTTCTATACATCTTACTCCCAATTCTTTTGTAATTATACAGTAAATCCTAACACTATTGTTTCTTGTATTTATCGAGTCAAATATTCAAAACATTTTGAAGCACCCTCTTTTTCTCTCTCTTCCCTTTTTCAATATATTTTTTATATTTCTCTCTCTCAAACTCTCTCTCTAATTATCAAAAAAAACTTTCACCCATCCTCTCACTTTCTCTTTCCACCCATTTCTCTCTCTAACCTCCCTCACTCTTTCTCTCTCTACCCACCCTCATACTTTCTCTCTACCCTCCCTCACCATTTCTCTTTCTACATTTCCTCGTTCTTTTTCTCTCTACCACTCACATGGCCAACCGAAATTTTTTTTGCTCTCTACTCTTCCTCATTTTTTCTCTCTCTACCACTTGCAAACCGAATGCTTTTTTGCGGTCCAGTACAAAAATATGCCGGACCACAAAAAATATTTTACAAAAATGTGCCGGATCGCATTATGAGCATGTTAGACCGCAAAAAATATTTCGTTCTGGCAAAAAAATGTGCAGGATCCCATTATGGGCATGTGAAAGTTACTAAAATCCAATGCGGTCGAAAATTGTTTTTGGTCCGACACAAAAACGTGCTGGACCGCATTATCTGTATGTAAGTGATAGAGAGAAACAATGAGGGAGGGTAAAGGGAGAAAGAGAAAAAGTGAGGGAGGGTAGAGAGAGAAAATTGGGTAGAAGGAAAAAGAGAGAGGATGGGTGGAGAGAGGTAAAGAGAAAAAATAAGAGAGGGTCACCTATCTAAAAGGACCAAGAAAAAAAAAGAGAAAAGAGAAAAAAATGATATTTTGGTCATAATTTCGGATTTAAGGTATAATAAAAAAAATATTAAGGGTAAGATGTGTAAAAAATTGAAATTTGGGGTATCTATGATTTCCCCAAATTTTTAGTCCAACAAATTGCCTAGTTTAATATGAATTGCACAAAGATAAATGCCTTATAAACAAGTTGCGGTGCATATTTAAGAAAGATTTTAATTTGGTCAATTTCTTCAAAAGCAGTAAGAAATATAATTTTCACAAAAAGTTACGTATTTAAAATAAGTCACGTCTCAACTAGTTTATCCTTTAACAATCGAAACCCATCGTCAATTATTTCAAATTTCAAATCTCTAATTTTGTCACAGTTATTTTTCCACATTAATAGACGAGGTTTTAGAAAACAGTTTGGTGACCCGGATGACCTAATTCGAATTTTTGATACGATTCAGCAGATCGGAGATTTGGATTAGTGATACGGTCTACAGAAGCGGTCCTTAAAATATTAAAAATTCGACTAAAATGAAAAAAGTGGGA